CTCTGCCTACTTGTGATCTCTGTCTGTCAAATAAATAAAATCTTAAAAAAAAAAAAAATCCTGAAATGAAATTAATCCCAAATAAGAATTAAGGAAATGCTAAAGGGTAGAAATCAATGAAATAGAAAACTGACAAAAAGAGCAGAGAAAAGTCAATGAAGCTAAATGCTAACTCACAGAAAAGAGAAATTATTAATATCAAGAGTGAGATAGGTGTCATTAGGACAGATAATGCAGGCATTATAAATATAATAAGGGAATATTAAGGACAAATTTATACCAATAAATTTGATAACTAAAATGAGATGGAAAAATTTCTTAAGAAACACAAATTACCAAAACTAACTCAAACAGTAATAAAAAAATCAAAATAGACTCATCCACTAAATAAACTGATCATTAGAATCCTTCCAGAAAGAAAATTCCACTCCACATGGTTTTATTGAATGATCACTTGTATCAAACTATAGATCAATGAACATATAAATCAATGTAGCAGAATAGTCTAGAAATAAACTCACATATATGGTCAATTCATTTTCTACACAGGTGCCATGGTAATTAAATTGACAAAGACTAGTATTGTCAACAAATGCTGATTGTATGAAAAATACAATAAAATTTGACCTTTATTCCCATTCCATATAAACAAAATTAACTTAAAATAGATTACAGATTTATTCATGTACTATATATATATGTATACAAACACACACATACATAAAGGCTAAAACCATAAAACTCCTGTAAGAATACATGAAGATTTTCTCCCATGGGGTGGGCAAAGATTTCTTGAATAAGATGAAAAAAGCACAAACTAGAAATAAAGTAAAATAAAATATTGGAGTTCATCAAAATTTAAAACTCTTTTGAAAAACACTGTCAAGAAAATTTTAAAAAGCCAAGTATGATTGGAAGAAACTATTCACTATATATATTCTAGCAAAAGAATTATAGAAGGAACCTCACTCAATACATTTTTAAATGGGCAAAAGGTTTGAACAGACCAAAGAAGATATATGCGTGGCCAATATGCATATGAAAAGATGCTCAAGACCAATAGTTATAAAGGAAACACAAATTAAAATAATAATGACATACTAATCTAGCTAAAATGGTTTAATGGTTAAAATTCAAAAGACTGACAATACCAAGTGCTGATGAAGACACAGACTAACTGGAACTCTCATATATTGCTGATGGGAATGAAGAATGGTACAATTACCTTGGAACAGTTTAGCAGTTTCTTATTAAGTTAAACATATACTTTCTGTTATACCCAGAAATCAGGAGTGATGTTGGATGTCCCTGTACAAAAACACATATCTATATAAAAATTTGTATATGAAAATCCATAGTGGCTTTATTTCTAATAGTCCAAAGTTAGAAACAACTCAAATGCCTACCAAAAAATAAACAAAGTACATCTATAAAAAAACACTACTCAGTAATATAAGGGAATGAGCCACAAAATATGCAACAATGTTAATGAATATCAAAATCATTAGGCTGAACAAAAGAAGCCAGCCATAAAAAAGTACACACCTTACAATTCCATCTAAATGAAGTTCTAGAACAGGGAAAACTAGTCTGTAATGAAGGAATGCAGATCACTGGCTGGGCCATGGCTGGAGGTTGCAGATTTAGGGGAAGGGAGACAAAGGAAATTGTGGGGAGGTGATAGAAATTTTATCTTGATTGCAGTGGTGGTTATAAGGATACACTATTTTGTCAAAGCTCAATGAATTGTACAATTAAAACAAGTATATTTAATTGTATTTATTTCTCAGAAAAGTTTTAAAACAGATCATTAACTGAAAAACAAAATTCAAGGCTGAAATAAAATGTTTTCTGTTTTTATGTTTTAGAAATAGCTCCACCTGTTAGTGTAATATGTATAGGAATTTTTCAAATAGTTGGCTTTTACAGGTTTATAGAAGTAGTTCCATCAAACTCAAGCTCTGTTTTGCATTTCTATCAACTGTACGTTGAGGTTTGTTTTGAGAGATATATAGTGAGCAGAATTAGCGAAGAAAAAAAAAAAAAAAAAAAAAAAAAGATTCATTCTTGAGTTCCACACAACCCATGAGAGTTGTTAGGCCTCTCTTCCTGGTAGGTAGATAAGGATTCATGATGGGAAGTTCAGAGCTAATGAAAGTCATAAAAATCTTCAGATAGTCAATGTATCATAACAGCTTAGAATGTTCACTGAATCTAAGGTTTCAAATATTTAGCTCTGAACAGCCTATGTGTTTAAGACCACTTAATTTTGAGAGCCTGGAGAAAGAGTCTACACGATTTGTAGAAGAACAGAGACTTTGGAGTCAGACGAACATGGTTTGAATCTTATTCTGCCACTACCTGTATGACCCTGGGCACTTTGTTTCACCTCTCAGACTCAGTTTCTCTTCTGTAAAATGTTTTGCCTGACACATAGTACTAAAAAAAAAAAAAAAAAAATGTTAGTTTCATTTCTGCCCACACAAAGGTAGAATTATAATCAATGTAGTCTTTTGGGAACATTAATCTATTGCTAGACACAATGGGTAAGGAAAAGAGAGAGGACATAAAATAACCAGTGAGGAGGATTCAAAAATAAGATAATAATAGCCTGAATCAAGAAGGGGCAATGGAAATTGAAAAGAAAAAATGAATGCAAAACATTTGAAGAATGCATAGGTTGGATATAAAGGCCAGGAACAAGAAGAGAATCAAAGATGTAGGCAAGGTTTCAAGATTATGTTAAATGGCAATGATGATATGACCAGAAACTTGGTAGCATGTTGACAAATGATAAAGTATCATAAAAAATTAAAACAATGGTTTCCCAGATACAACAGTTTTTTTCTTAGAACACTTGTCTATATTTTTTAGACTGACATATGAACCACATAATATGAATCACATATGTAATTTTAAATTTTCTAGCAGCTACTTTAAAAAGAAACAAGTAAAATTTTAATACTATACTTCACTTATCCTAATATATCCAAAATATTTTAGTCTGTAATCAATATAAAAATATTCTTTTTTTATTCTTCATTAAGTCTTCAAAGTCTGATATTTACTTTAAACTTACAGCATGCTACAATTTGGACTAGCTACATACAGTGAGCTACCAACTTGGATAGTACTGACTTATACTATTAGATACTATAATTATTTGATTTCCAGATATATAGGTACTAAAAATGTGGTATATCCATCAATGTTACACTATCCAGTAATGAAAAGGAATAAACTACAACATGGGTTAACCTCAACTGCCTTATGCAAGTGAAAAAAACAGACTCGAAAGCCTGTTGACTCTATGTGATTCTATTTACATGACATGCTGGAAAAGGCCAAAATGTAAGAACCAAAACCAGATCAGTGGTTGCTTTGGACTGAAAGTAGGAGGAAGACTTGACTAAATTCATAAGGGAATTCTTAGGGATGGTGGAACTATTCTGTATCTCAATTATGGTGACAGTTAAATAACTATTTGTTGAAACTCACAGAACTGTATACTTAAAATGGGTGATTTACTATATACAAATTTTATCTCAATAAAGCCAATGTTAAGAAATTTATTATCAGAGATAATGCTAATTATACAAGACCAAAATGGTCAGAAACATACTTTTTCATGAACATGCTAAAGAAAAATACAGTAATGATGGCATAATTTCTTACTCTTTAAGTCTCTTATATGATATTTTTATCATAAGTCTTACAAAGTAATACTGTACAGTATGTTTTGTTTTTATTATCTTAATGGTACGTTAATATGTTTTTTAATGAGACAGCTTATTTAAAATATATTATCCAGTTAGATTTGACACCAAAAGCACAAACAACCGAAGAAAAATTAGATACACTAGATTTCAAAATTTAAAAATTTTGTGCTTCAAAGGACACCGTAAAGAAAATGAAGAGACAACCCTAAGAATAGGAGAGGTATTTAGAAATCATATATGTGATAAGGGACTTGTATTTAAAATATATTAAAAAACATTTACTACTCAATAATTTAAAAATTCCAATTTAAACAGTGGGCAGAGGATTTGATCAGACATTCCCCAAAGAAGATATACAAATGGCCAATAAACATATGAAAAAATGCTCAATATCTTTAGTTATCAGAGAAATGCAAATCAAAATGATTTAACCACCTCACATGGGCTATAACCAAAAAGATAATCTAACATGTGTTAGTAAGAATGTATAGAAAATGGAATCCTTACACACTACTGGTGGAAATGTACAAATCGTACAGATAGTTAGGAAAATAGTCAACAATTTTTCAAAAGGTTAAATACAGGGTTACCGTATGATTCAACGATTCTACTCTTAGGTATATACCCAAGACAAATGAAAACATATGTCCACACAAAAACTTGTATGTTAATGTTCACAGGAGCATTATTCAAAATAGCCAAAAAGCGGAAATGACAGAAATGTCCATCAACTGATAAACAGATGTTTTATATCTATATAATGGAATATTACTTTATAAAAAGGAATGAAGTACTGATATGTACTACAACATGGGTGAACCTCAAAAACATTCTTAAAAGATGTCAGTCACAAAATACCTCATATTGTATGATTCTACACATAGCATGTCCAAGTGTCTAAAAGAGGCAAATCTACCAACAGAAAACAGATTAGAAGTTGCCTAGAGCTGGAGGGGACTGAGAGAAGACTGGGGTACAGTGGCTAAAGAGTATGGAGTGTCTTTTTTGGGGTGATGAAAATGTTCTAAGACTCATCATGGGGACAGCTACACAATCCTTGAATATACTAGAAGCCACCGAACTGTATATTTTAAAAAGGTGATTCGTACTCCATGTGAACTGTATTTCAATAAAGCTATTAAAAATATTCTTATATGGTGAAAGACTTTTTAGTAAATATTAACAAAATAACTGAACAAAAGTGGTGCCCACACAAACATGTAACTTTAATGTTTTATAGTATCTTTAACATTAGGTCCAGAAAGCAAGCAAAATTATTACCTTTTCTACTGAAGACAGCTGTTGCTGTAATCCATCACATTTTTTATTCAGCTCTTCAAAAAGAGTTTTATATTTTTCTGTTTGAGACTGTTGCAAATTAATTGTTCGTTGCTGTCTCACACGATCTTCCTCAAAGTTTTTTATTTGAGACTTTAAATCCTGAATTTCATTTTCCTATATGTAGGAAATTATAGATTATATGAAAAAATACACAAGGTTTGGTATCACAACATAAAGCAGAAAACAAAATGGAGCATCATATGATTTGAGATATTTATATTCACTCCAAAAAGAAAAACAAACTGCATTCCATTTTCATCCTCAAAAACGGAAGTCAGATGTTTTATTTTTATTTAATAGCTTACATTTGTAAATCTTATACAGAAAATTCTAACTGCTAACAAGTATTTAATATTCTTTAGCTCAGAGAAAAATTCAACATCTCAAAATAGAATAAAATTCAGTATTTACATACAATTAATTCAAAATTTAACTGTAAATTACATCTCAATGAATATATTTTAAAAATAATTGAAACTGCTCCTAAAAATCTTTGAATATTAGAGAATTAATTTTGAGAGGCTTTTACCTTTTTATTGCATTCATATACAACATTATCCAATTCCTCCTGCATAACACGGAGTTTGGCCTTTAGAAATCTGTTCTGGGCTTCTGCAGATTTAAATAATTACATTTATTGTCTTTCACTGAATTTAAGATCAGTTGCAAGACAGACCATTATCTTATGAGGAAAAAATGTGGAAGACGGGGAATTTATCAGGAGATCCCTCTCTGAGAACACTAAAGACACTAAACACCCATACTATAAAGATAAATGAAAAATGAATCCACCGATAACAACAGAAAGGAACTGTTCACATCTCAACCTGAAACTGAGTAAAGAAAGGAAAAACAACCAAAAACTCTCCTGAGAATCTGAACCACAAACCAGTACTCACATTAAGTCTGCAGATTGAATGTGTACTTTACCAATATGATTCAAAATACCTCAGTCAGAATTTAAAGGGGTTTCAGGCTGGTAATGTCCCTAGGTGTTTGGCAGAAACAAACATAAAACCTCTCTAGCAAAACTCAACTTCAATCTCAGCCATTGGGATTACAAAATACCAGTGACCATAACACATATCCCGATTTCACAGAAGTTAAAATGTAGTCTATGTGCCTCAGAAGCAAAGTAATACCTTACTGCTTCTCCCACCGTCCCTAAGATCTACCTTTGGTATTTCATTGCTACCTAAAAATCTTTATTCAGTGATATCAGCAATAAATCTTTGATATTTCTAGAACTATATAAATAAATAAAGTGAAAAATGAACTTAAAACTCACTCCATAATTCATTTGATCATTTATCTAAAAAATATCTATTAAGTCTCTATAATGTCCCAGGCATAGTACGGATAAGACAAGCTTTGCCTTCATGGATCTTATCTTGAACGAACACTCAGAATTGTCTCTGAGAAGTCATTAGGATATATCCCAACAGAGCACAAAACATTTCCATACACACTTCCCACTCCAAAGCTCTTCTTACTAAATGCTCCCAGTGTTACCATGGAGCTAATTAATGGTGACTAGCTCTAACCCACCTAGACCTCTTTAGCCTCAAATTTCCCCTCAAGCCTTTCATGTACAGGATAGAAGGGAAATGATACATTTAAAAATGTGTAGTTTGCAGTAGCTGGTCTGCAAAGGAGGAAGGAGGAAGAACGGGAGAGCATGACTTGACCATCTCTTTCTCTCCCCCAACCAACCTCAGTGTCACGAAGGAGACGAATGCTCTCACCTCTGCAGGCCCAGAGCATTAACTTCCCATCCCCATTTCCCTCTGACTTTAGTCTTAGAGAGCAGTATGTGCTACTAAGCTACTTTTGATCTTTTCCTCTTGCCTATATAGCCATTCAGGCAATCATATGGATAAAAGAAAACTCCCCCAGAAGGCGCGATACCTTGGCCAAATAGTCTGGAAAGGGAAGGCAGGGAGGCAACGTGGCAGACAGATGATTCAGCAATAAAAAGGAAGTAGCAATTTAAGGTAGTTTGTACTGGTTCTGTGTATCTAAAAGCAGGAATAATTCTTTTTTTTTTTTTTTTATTTGACAGACAGATCACAAGTAGGCAGGGAGGCAGGCAGAGAGAGAGAGGAGGAGGAGGCAGGCTCCCTGCTGAGCAGAGAGCCCGATGCGGGACTCGATCCCAGGACCCTGAGATCATGACCTGAGCCGAAGGCAGAGGCTTTAACCACTGAGCCACCCAGGCGCCCCATAAAAGCAGGAATAATTCTAACAGGGCCATGGGTGACTGTGTCCTGAAGAACAGTCAAGGTGTGACCACTGTGTCCTTGAAGGCATCTTGACAGAGACATAAAGGCAACTTCCTGCTTCACTTAACTTCTCTTCTGAAAAGTACCCCCAGAAAGCTTAGATAAGTCAGTAAATGTAATAAATTCATAAATAAATTGCTCATTTATGACTAGCATGTAGCAAAATAATCATTACACATATAAATTGTTATGGTTTTCACAGAATCAACAGAATTTTAAAGATAAATCTTATGACTATTTCATACAAACTGCTATATTTCGAAATGAGGAAATTGCTATTATAGAGAGGCTAAGTGGCTTGCCTGAAGTCACAACTATAGTTCAGTACTAACCATGTTCAAATACATGTAATTGTCTTATTCTGTTTATAAATACATGGGTAGTTCCTCACAAATTCAACAGTTCTAGAGGCATTACTGGTAACTAAATTCTGGTTTTAGATGATCTAAACTTAGTATTATTTTTCAAAGTGATATGCAGAGAATGAGTTTATAAGAAAGAAAATTACATTTACTAGAAAACTAATGTGATTATTTTAACTGATGCCACATCAACCATTCATTTATCCTTTGAACATGCAGTAAGTAAAATATAATATCAATAAATGAAAGAAATTCAAAGAAACATTGGATTTAAAAAATTATTTTAATGTGGGGCACCTGGGTAACTCAGTTGGTTAAGCATCTCTTGACTTTGGCCATGATCTCAGAGTTGTGAGATGGAGCCCTGCGTTGGGATCTGCACTGGGCATGAAGCTTGCTTAAAGATTCTCTCTCTCCTTCTCCTTTTGCCCCCCCCAAATTATTTTAATGTTTTCATGATAAGCTATGGGGCATGTTAACCTTAGTTGCAATGTTGTTAATGAAACTGATACCATATAGTCTTTTTTTTTTTTTTTAAGATTTATTAAGGTGGGCAGGGCCATGGGAGAGAGAGAGAGAGAGTCTCAAGCAGACTCCCCCATGAGTGTGGAGTCTAACACAGGGCTCAATCCCAGCACCCTGAGATCATGCCCTGAGCTGAAATCAAGAGTTGGTTCTTAACCAACTGAGCCATCCAAGCACCCTCCATATAGTCTTTTTCATTTTTACTTTTTATAATGGAAAATGTCAAACATATGTAAAAGTAGAGAGATTATATCAATGAAAATAACCACTTTCCCATCACCCATATTCAACAATTATCGACTCAAAACCAATTTTATTTCATCTATAATTCCACTCAGTCCTCCTACCATCATGTCCCACTAGATGATTTTTGAAACAAATCAAGGTATCACAATACATTTTTTAAATGCAAAAAAAAAATTGTTCCTAAATACCTTTTTCTAAGTAACTGTGATATAAGGATAAAAAGAAAAGAAAGCTTACCTATTCCAATGTCGTTACTAACACCACAAAAAATATCATCATCTATACAATCAGGCAAACCTTCTTCCTCGAGTTGCCCTTCAATTTTGCTAATTGTTTTTGCAAGAGAAAAGTCTGAGAAATCCTCTGGAATAGCAACATCATTGGCAGTCTGTACATCAGAGTATTTCAATTTTATACTATAAATAAACACACACATACATATACACATTCATATATTATATATAATGTCAATATATAAAGGAGATAGGACTTTTTTATTCAAATAACAAAGCAGATCAAAATTATTAATTTTAAATTTATGATGAAATCTACAATTGACACTTTGAAGGATGATATTATAAAAGACTTAGTCGACTTTCAATTTTTATGAATCACACAGCTAACAGAGTTAGAGAAGGCTTATGAAGCCAGTTTGTCTAGACATTGCCTCCAAACAAGTAAACATCAAAACTCAAGAGTGCTGAACTTAGCCTCCCAGGTCAAATCCATACTGTCGCTTTTAAATTACACACTGCTCAAGAATAACTATATAAATTGACATTGCTTCTAGCCATCATTCTGCAAACACTGAAGAATAATACCTCTTATGAAAAAAATTTAGAGTAGGGGTGCCTGGGTGGCTCAGTGGGTTAAAGCCTCTGCCTTTGGCTCAGGTCATGATCCCAGGGTTCTGGGATCGAGCCCCACATCAGGCTCTCTGCTCAGCAGGGAGCCTGCTTCCTCCTCTCTCTCTGCCTCCTCTCTGCCTACCTTGTGATCTCTCTGTCAAATAAATAAATAAAATCTTAAAAAAAAAAAAATTAGAGTGAACAGCTATTAGCTCAATCAAAATCAACTTTTTTTTCCACCTAAAGAAACATAGCCCAACCAGAATCAAAGCCAACCAAAAAATTAGATTAGATTTTTTTTTAAAGATTTTATTTATTTGAGAGACAGAGATCACAAGTAGGCAGAAAGGCAGGCAGAGAAAGAGAGAGAGGAGGAAGCAGGCTCCCTGCTGAGCAGACAGCCTGAAGCAGGGCTCGATCCCAGGACCCTGAGATCATGACCAGAGCCAAAGGCAGAGGCTTAACCCACTGAGCCACCCAGATGCCCCTAGATTTTATTTTCTTAACAAGGGAAGAAATATGAAATAAAAGTCACTAGTAAAGGCATTAAGGAATGGGCCAGCCCTAATCATTAAGTTTATGGTTCTGAAAACCTTATTTTTAACTTTTTACTTAAAGCCTAACTTACTTTTACAACACAAGCAAAGCCTTCAGAATTTTGTTCAGAAAAACAATCTTTTATTTAAAAAGTAATTTTGAAGTCTGAAAATAAGATAACCAGTTACGTTAGTTCTCTTTTCTTCTATTTTAGATTTATTTTCTCTTAATAATTGCTTCATTCTTTTTTCCTTCTTTTATTCAAAAAACAAAAAAGTTATTTAGCCAATTAAAAGACACAAACATTAACAAGGATTTTTCTAGGATTATAATGTAATTATCATTTTGGGTAAGTAACACATTTAATAAAAAGAAGCTGGTTGGTATAATACACGGCATGTGTAACCTTCCTTTTTTAGGTCTCCTATTCTAAAGAGCCTCTTGGTCCCCTTTACAACTTAAAATACTAAGAACGGTCTTGAATTATTTCTCACCAAAAACAACAGAATGTAAATTACAATGATATGATAGTCTTACTTAGAGCACACCAGATTATTCTGTATGTCAATATATGCAATAATGTATAGTGTTCTATTAAAAGCTCAAAAAAGTACACTTGTCAGAGAAGGACACCTATGTTCTAGTCTAAGTTGTAAGAAAATATTTAACACTTAAAAATTTGAAATGTGGTGATTTTGCTTAAGAGAAAAACGTAAAACATTTAGTAACTGTTGCAAGACATTTCCGAGTAGAACATATTTTAAATTATTCAATGCAGATAAAATATACACAGTGTAAGATATAAAAAGATCTGGAGAAACCGATAGAGCTTAATAATTAAAATGATGGTACTGTGAATCATCAAACTAAAAAAAGAAAATAATAATTTTAAAACTGTACTATACCTTGAATTTGTTTTTCTTCCTTTATTTGCAGAGCGCAGTTTGTTTGGAACCTTGTTTACTGCATCAACATTTTTGGTCTTTGGCTACATCAAAAGAATTTAAATTACTGATTAATTAGATTCTAATCATTTGTCATGGAAAGCAATTTTGTAATATACAGAACTGTGAGTTTACTACACAGAAGAATTGCTATTTTCATGTTATTAATCAAATTATATTTTAAAGAATCCCAGAAACGTATAGCTGGAAAAGACCTAGATATCACTAGCACCAACAGATTCAATGATAAGGAAAATGAGGCTCCAAAATTCAAGGATATTCCGCTAGCTAGTGAACATTACACCGGATGTTCTGGCTCACAGAATTTAGTTCTCCTCGCTGATTATTCCCCAGACAGACCTGCACATATACTGTTCCCTTGGCTTAGATCCCAGTAGGTGGGGAACTTGTAGATCCCAATTTGCCTAGCACCTGCAAGAGTGTTCTATCTACACACTGTAAATATCTAAATGAATGAATAAACCTCTCAAATTACCTCCTTTGTATAGAAATACTTTTCTTTTTTGGGTGGTGTATGTGGTAAATTTGGGCTTCAGAGAGAAAACTAAAAATGCTTAGGTTACAGATTCATTTTACTTATAATTTTTTCTAATACATATCCAAATTGCTCAGTGAAATTATGAGACAAAAAAAGCATTCAAATTTATTTTATGAGCAACATGGAGGCATCTAAGTATCAAGGCTTATACTCTATTTCTATAGTCATACTCTTCCGTTTTATTCTAAGAAAAGTCTAAAAAATAACCTAAATTCTACAGAATGTAATTATATTTACGGAAAGTTTAATTTTTTAAAAACATTTTATTTATTTATTTGAGAGCCCACAAGCAGATGGAGCAGGAGGTAGAGAGAGAGGGAGAAGCAGGCTCCCCACTGAGCAGAGAGCCCAGTGCAGGGCTTGATCCCAGGACCCTGGATCATGACCTGAGCTGAAGGCAGAGGCTTAAACAACTGAGCTACCCAGGTGCCTCAAAAGTTTGATTTCATACCTTAGTTTCTGAATGCAGATGAACTATCCCTTCAGACAACAGATCTCTACAGACCAAAAATAAACATTATACATTAATAATAGATGTTACTAAACACAGACACAATAAAATTCAACAGTAATTATATCTAAAAGGGAAAACAGACAACTAGCAAGTAGACGTTGCTATGATTCTAGTTATGCACATGTTAATTAATTTTGATAAGTGTCACAAACAACAAAAGTTTTTTGGTTAAATAATTCACTTTTGAGAAGATATACCATAATATGAATATTTTTGTAGGGAAATAGAGCACAAATTTTGACAAATAAAAATCATAAGGAGTGATTATTGGTAACCCACAGGGATTATCGATTTTACAAAATGATTCACTACAAGGCTTTTAGTGTGAGCTCATCCAATGTTATCCTTTGTTAAATGTATTAAATAGGTGGTCACTGTCTGTTTTCCCCATTACACTGTGAACTCCATGAGGGTAGGAATCATGTCTGCCTTGTTTGCTCTATGCCTAGTACTTGGCATGGTACCTAGCATATGAGCTCTTAAACTGTGACTATTTGTTAAATGCATGAATAAATGTATCTAAAATACAACTCACTTTTTTAACATTTCACATTCCTTTTTTATTGAAGTGTAATTGACATACAATAGCCTATTAGTTTCAGTTGTATGTCATAGTGATTCAGTATTTTTCTGTATTACAAAATGGTCCCCACAACAAGTCTAGTTACCATCTCTTACCATACAAAGTTGTTATAGTATTACTGACTACATTCACTGGACTGTACATTACATTGCCATGACTAACTCATTACTGGAAGTTTGACCTCTAAAATACACTCATTTTTATGCAGTTTTCAAAATATGTTTTTATTTAAAACAAAGAGTGCTTATGGGGTCTTGCACTTTATGGCCCGTGGGCTGAATCCACCCACAACCATTCATTTCACATCATATATGGCTGTTTTCTCACTGCAACAGCAAGGTTGAGTAGTTATGACAAAGACTGTAAAGCCCACAAATACAAAAATATTTATTATCTAGCTCTTTATTGGAAGAGTTGCCTACACCTGATCGATTGTCTTGACTATCCCTATTACATGTATTAGTATTTCTGAAAACCTACCATGTTACTATCTATTGCTGCTATTAAAAACCAAAAAACCAAAACCAAAACAAAACAAAACAAAAAAACTCCATCATATCCCCTGAGAATTCATAACCATAATAAGGACACAAAAACAAAATTACTTTCCATCATATGCCACCTACTCAACTAGTAATACATCAGTTATTTCAATATTAAACACAAACAGATACTTAGAGAATATTATATACAACATTTTAAAGAACTAGAAATAGCTCTGGAAAGAAAAAAAGACGGCTTTCAAAATACCTTAAAATTACAGACTTCATCATTCTCACATACGACATTAAAATGTTACCAAATCTCTGCTCAGCAGGGAGCCTGCTTCCTCCTCTCTGCCTGCCTCTCTGTCTACTTGTGATCTCTCTCTGTCAAATAAACAAAATTTTAAAAATAAAATAGAAAAATAAAATGTTACCAACTTTTCTACAAATTTTAAGGGTCCTCTTTAATGGCCTTCAGATCAAATTAATATTTGCCATTTCCTTACTTTTCTGCATCTTCCATCTCCCGTCCCCGATACACATACGTATCAGCCAAAAGACATTTAACGGTTATCAGTCTCGCTCAGGTTTAGGAAAGTGACATTATTTTGTCAGTGTATTTCCATGAATAATGAACTAAAACACTGTATTCTACCTATTTTTGTTACACTTCTCCAGGAAAGGTTTGTGTGTAACATAGCAAATGATTTGTGTGGTAAATCTTGCTTCCAGCAGACTGAAGGATATGTATATTATGCTATTAGGAAACTAAATTCTGGTTTCTGACCATATTGTTTGGCAGAGTAACCTTGGATGTTGAAGACTTATTATAATATATACTGCCTGACCACCATCATTTACACGAATGATTGTTCTGAGCTAAAATGGATTGCCTCTTTACAAAATTACCTCCCATCTTCAGCAATTTCCAACTAATAGTCAAGGGACATGTTTCACGTGGTAAAAGCCAGCTGTTCAAATAGTAGCATTTCTTTAAAAAGCCACCTGATCAAGGTAAACAGAGGTGTCATCACCACTTCGCACTTAAGGAAAATTTAGTGAAAGGAAACCAACAGATTTATTTTTATGCTTGTGAAATCAGTCTCTCACTTGCTTCAACAGAATCTAGGGATTAACTGTTGTTACCATCATTTCAGTCTTTCAGTTTACTTGATAAAAGCTGTGCCTAATCTTTGTAATCCAAATTTTGGAATTTTGATAATTGCTAAACATCATTTATCATAAAATATGAGAAAGCATTACATGTAATAAGGATATGTAGTTTCATGTGTATATATCAAATGACATAAAAAATGTAAACTACACTCTTTTTAGATTTACAGTTCTATAAATGTTTTTAAAGATTTATTCATTTTTAGAGAGCAAGAGAGAACATAGGTAGGGGGAGGGGAAGAGGGACAGAATCTTTCAAGCCGACTCCCCACTGAGCAAGGAGCTGGATGAGGGGCTCAATCCCACAAGCCATGAGATCATGACTGAGCAGAAACCAAGAGGACATGCAACCGACTGAACCACCCAGGCACCTCTACAGTTCTATAGACTTTTTTTAAGGTTTTATTTATTTGTCAGAGAGAGTGAGAGAGACGAGACAGAGGGAACACAAGCAAGGGGAGTGGCAGGCAGGGGGAGAAGCAAGCTCCCAGATGAGCAAGGAGTCCAATGTGGAACTTGATCCCAGGACCTGGGATCATGACCTGAGCCGAAGGCAGGCACTTAACCCACTGAGCCATCCAGGCATCCCAAACAGTTCTGTAAATTTTAACAAATTTCATGGTCATGTAGCCACCACAACAACCAAGATAAAGAATATTTCCATCATCTCCAAAAGTTCCGTTGTGACCCTTTGTAGTTAATTTCCTCCCCTCCATCACACACAGCCACTAATCAGATTCCATCCCTATAGTTTTACCTTTTCCAGAATGTCAAATAAATGGAATATGGGGGGAAAAAAGAGAGGCAACCCAACCAGAGAATAGACTTCTAATGCTAGAGAACATACTAATGGTTATTGGAGAGGAGGAAGGCAGGGGGATGGACCAAATGGGTGATGGGTATTAAAGAGGGCACTTGTGGTTGAGCACTGAATGTTGTATATGTGATGAATCACTGAATTCTACACCTGAAATTAATATTACACTGTACGCTAACTGGATCTTAAATAAAAGCTCTAAAAAAAAGACAAAACAACCCTCGAAAATAATGGAATCACACAGTACACATATGTTTTAATCTGTCTTCTTTCACTTAGCTTCCATGTTGTCGCTGCATCAGTAGTTCACTGCTTTTTACTGCCAAGTAGTTCCGTTGCATGGATATACCATAATCTGCTTATCCTATCTGTTCACCACTTGATAGCTGAGCTGTTCCCAGTTTTTGGCAATTATGCATAAAAGCGCTATAAACATTCGCATACAGGTTTTCACTTGGACATGTGTCTTCACTTCCCTTGGGTAAATAGCTAAAAGGGAATTGCTAGATCATATATATGCAGTACTTTTGAGTAAATAATGTCCCAATATTTCAAGTATGAGCTAAATACACTGCTGCTTAAGTAACACATTTCTTTTTGTTTGTAAGCCCCGTAAGGTGTTAAACGTTCTATCCTGTTACAGCCTGCTGCTTCATCTTAGAAGACTGGGAGGACCTACAGCTGTTTTGAGATTTAAACAGTCACAGTTCCAGTCTATCATTCAAAGTTCATTGGTGGGCAAAACTCCCCCCAAAACTACTGGATTTCATAGCTGATTCCGGTCAGTTCCATGTGCCATTACTCCAGCCGCAGTTCCTTCCAAAACTATATTTCTTTATACTGAATACCTCACCCACTTTAATAATGGCTTACTTTGAGATTGTCAGGCTTCTATAGGGAGACTATACCTTTAGGCAGAGCTTTGCCTGGAGCCATTTTATCAAATTGGAAGTTTCACTAGGTGCCATTCAAAATGATCCTTGTCCTGAAGAACCTTAATCCATTATAAAGTTTTATTAATAGCATTAAGACCACATCTTTAGTCTCATCTTTGCTTCAAGGCTGAGCTTTAATAGACTTTTGTTCCTCAAAGACATTCTCAATTTTATCTCATAATTTTTTTGGTTGAAAAGCAGATAATCCTCCAAAGCAAGGGTAATCAAGACCGTGTGGTACTGGCATAAGAACAGATATATAGATTAATGGAATAGAATTGGGAGTCCACAAACAAAACCACATGCCTCTGGCCAGCTGACTTTTGACAAGACTGGCAAGAGCATTCAGTGGGGAAAGAATACAACTAATAGTAACAGCACATACTACTAATATTCTGTTTTCCAACCTCTTTCCCTGAGAGCACAAGTTCATTTGACACCTGTCCTGCCTTTACCAAAGGTGGCAATTTTACTAAACCCATTGCCATGACATTAATAGTGCTTCTCTACCTTTCCTGCCTCCAGGGTCAGTTTCCTTCCTGGCTACAACCTAACTACAAAGCTAAAGCCACACTTTCCAAGTTTTTGTCATATGGCACCTGATTCTCAATACCAGTTGCTCTATTATTAGGATAAGTAGGAAATCAACCCCCAAATTTCAGTGGTAGTAAAGAGGGGTAGAGAGCCCTTTTTTCCCATAAGTGCCACATGGTCACCCAGAGACCAGGCTGGGAGGTTTCATCAACTACATTTTCACTGATCATGGCTGAGAAAGAGTCAGCTGGAGGTTCAAAATACAACTCCTATCTGCTGGCTTGGAAGAGAATAATCTGACTTTAGCTCATAGTAAGAGACTTAGAATGTTGACTAAACACCATTGCCTGTGCTGTTATTCACACAGATCCTTTGTTTCCCTAAATACATCTTGATACCCTATTTTTTGGGAAGATTTTATTTATTTATCAGAGAGACAGCCCAAAGAGGAGGCAATGGCAGGCAGAGGGAGAAGCAGGCTCCCTGTCGAGCAAGGAGCCCGATGTGGGACTCAATCCCAAGACCGGAGAATCATGATCTGGGCCGAAGGCAGACATTTAACTGACTGAGCCACCCAGGCATCCTGACTCCTTTTTTTTTTTTTTTTTTTTTACATACCTGAAGTTCACATGAAATTCAAGAAAGAAAAGATCTATTTTATTTTTACTAACTTATTTTTATCTAATTTTCATATGGAATTTTAAAAGAAAGGTAGTATAATATTTAAGAACAGGTTCAGAAATCTTTACCAACTATGGTTTGCATCTCGGTGAAATCACGTATAATCTATATATCCTTGGGCAAGCTACTGAGCTTTGCTAAGCTCCAATTTCCTCATTTGTAAGATGAAGACAATAATATTTGTATCAAAATAATACTTTGAGGACTAAATGACATAAAATAGGTAAAGGGTTTACATCATGTCTGGTTCATATAAGGCTCGATTTTATTAGTATATTATATATTACATTATTTTTCAAAATATAGATTTCTAATACATGCAAAAAAGACTTTACATGACAAAAGATCCACATATATCATCCAAAAATGGTGTTTTGAGAATTTAAGTTACTTACCTTAAACTGCAATTCTCTTCCTTTTCATAGGATTTAATTTGTGTTGAGACTGGTCTTGATTGTACTTCTTGGTGATCTCTCTAGTTAAATGAATAAAGATAAATCATATAGAGAGAAACCACAAAACCAGGATATCGTCAAGTCCCTTTCTGATCATTAATCATTTCAGAGTTGTCCACAGCTTCCATGAAATCAAGGCGTAGAACTCAAATGCTATGTATGGTATGAGTATAAGGTCTGTAACAATGTAGTTTCACCTTTCATTCATTCTGAATTCAGAAAGTCAATTCTAAGGGAAAAATGTATCAATACCTTTATCTGATCTTATCAACCTCCTGCTTGCCCACTACATCAGTCTTCCAATTTGTGTTAACACGCAAAGGAAATTGGGCTCACAGGAAATTAGAGCATAAATTCATTTAATGAGTGGAAAAACTTGTCTCAAATTGGGCAAAGCTCAATTTTTTTTTTTAGAGAGAGAGAATGCACTTGGATGGGGGCAGAGGGGGAGGAGCAGAGGGAGAGAGAGAATCTTAAGGCTCCACACCCGGTGCAGAGGCCAACGCAGGGCTGGATCTCATGACCCTGAGATTATGACCGGAGTAGAAATCAAGAGTCAGATGCTTAACTGACTGAGCCACCCATGCCCCAGAGCGTCAATGTGAAGACCATGAAGCACTAAAGCACCAAGAGCACTAAGAGTAAAAGCTTTTGGCAATGATACTGAAGTGAACTGAAGTGAAAATGAGTGAACAAAAATTCAATGCAGCAAAGTTATATCCATTAGCTTCCATGGGGCAGGAATGTCCTCTCCCCTTACCCAACCCTTCCCAGGCTTCTACCCTACTCTTTTAGGAAATGGAAAGGGAAGTGCATATATGCATCTATTCATATATTCATATTCAATCTGTAATAATTCATTGACCTAAAAATTTATGCTTTGGGCACTTTAGAAAGCTAAAAAGCTAGCACTCATAGGAAATAAATAATAATCGCACATTCACTTACTATTACTTCCTCAGCTTGTCGGACCAGATCAGCTGTTTTTGCCTCTAATTCTGCATTCAAACGCCTAAAAGCAAAAAATAATTTAGTATTTGGGATATACTGAAGATTCTAACAAAAATAAAAGTAATTAAATTTCAGTAACTACACTTTAACTGATCAAGAAATGCCAAAACATACACATGACATTTTTACTCTAAAATTACCATTACTATTAGAACACTTACCTCCAACTCTTCATGATCTTTTGTGGTAGAAATTCAAACACTAACTCTTGGCCTCTCTCTGGCCCTCACTTCAGGTGTAATGATTTATTTGGGTAGAATAAATTGGGTGGGTTGAATTCAGTTCCACTATTCATCTTCATGGGATTAACTCCAAATGGGGACAGGAATGAGGCAGGATGGGGGAGAGGCCTGCTTTGGTCTGGGGGTGTTGCTGCAACTGGGGAGGTAAATCTGGGGTTTAGTAAGCAGGGCTAATGTGGCTCACATCTCAGTTACACACTTCAGTATCAGCTTCAGAAACAAAGGTGCTTGTTTGAACTGCCACCTGCCACTCCTTTTCCTCCCCCTATCTATTTGGAATCTGGCAAAGAACAGGAGTACTATATCGCACAATTTGAATGGAAGAATGGCAGTATCACTAAAGGAAATGGTTTTTAAAGATAAAATTGCTCATAATCCTATCACCATCATCTAAATGTTTCTATTTTTCATATCCCTTCTAATTTTCACCTATACTATGTTTTCCCATACAAATATAGAAGGAATTGTTTAGCTCTACATAATCTACAATACATGCATTAAACAGCTACACAATATTGTAATGAGTTGCACTTAATATAATGTACTCAACTGTTCCTACTGTTAAAGTCCTTTTTTCACTTTTAAAGGTTAACACGATAGTAAACATCTTCAACAGCATAAAACTTTTGAGTTTTACTCACAGCTCACAACTCTAGACCATCTAGGCTCTTTTAAAATTATATGAAGGGAACATATGGAGCAATTTTTAAAACATCTTCTTGTTTTACTTAAACAGGTGATTCAGAAGTAACAAAAATCACTGACAATCCCCACTCCTGGGGGAAAAAAAAAAGTAGCACTACATCCCTTCTTAAAACAGTCTAATGTTCTAAGAAATATTTTGTATCTTAGGATGAGTTAATCAAAAGAAAAATATTTAATAAAGACTTGAAGTTGCAGTTAATATGCCATTACTTTATTTTTCGTATTTCCTTAACAAGAATCACGAGAACTTAAATAGAAGCTTCTAGTCAATACAGTATTCTGAGGTGACGCAAAACACTATTCTGCTCCAAACCGATGGACGTGTTGGATAAAATGTAATGTAGGAAATACTGCTAAGCTCCAGCTCAGGCAAGGGAAATACCCTGGCACTAAAAATAAAGCAGCAACTCAAAGTGAGAGCAGTAAACAGGAACAGAAGCCAAAAGTATCTAACAGCTAAAAACTGATGCATGTGTGGGAGTCATGAAAGGCTACACCTGTGAAACACAGACTACAAAAAACACTACCCATAACCTTAGGTAAACGGAAATGAAACTGGAGCCATGGGTGGAAAAGACTCTTGTGAGTAAACACAGCGAATGCATTTACTCAGATGGTATAGGGACCCTGTGCCAAATTTTAGTACAGAAAGCCACACCAAAACCAGTGAAAACTCTGATAAGCTAGGAAAAGTAAATGTGAAATCAACCTACAAGGACACTTACCTAGAATATATGGAACTCTCTCAGAAAGCAAAGCCTGCTAAAAATGACTTCACAAAGACAACAAATTGCATAAAGAAAGGAATCACTGAGGCAGAGAATTAGTAGACACAACAAAATTTAGACGATAGTAACAGAATCATCTAAATCTAAAAACTAAATCTAAAATCTATTTTTAAAAGATTTTTAAATCAACATTTTTCATTTGCCCACTCCCCCAAAAGCAGGAATAGAAACCATTAGGCAAGAAGAACTATTTATTACAAAAGAACACTGAATTTAGAAAAGAACCAAACAGAATCACATAAATGAAAAACAATCATTGCACTTAAAAACTCAAACTCAAACTCAATGGTACACTGAACAATACCATGAACTGGAGAGGAAATGAGTGAGAAGACAGGAGAAAATTCACCTAAAGGAGATAGAGAAACAAAAAGATAAAAAAAAACAAAAGAGAGGTTAACATGCATTTAAGAAAGACGTAGGACAAAGACAGATGTCTAATTACCTAATAGAAGTTGCAGAAGGAAATTCCATAAAAGGAGGGAATGTCAATAATGAATACTGAGAGTTTTCTTAAATTGAGGAAAGATATGAATCTCAAGTAGAATTAAGAAAACAGGGGCGCCTGGCTGGCCCAGTTGGTAGAGCATGTGACTCTTGATCTTGGGATTGTAGGTATGAGCCCCACACTGCGTGTAGAGATTACTTAGAAATTACATCTTTAAAAAAGAGAGAGAAAGAAAGAAAACAAGCACACATCTGTATACATCATAGTGAAATTGCAGAGCTTCAAGGACAAAAATAATCTTCAAGTTACCAAAGGAATTATTATAAAAGAACCAAGAAAAATAGTCTACTGGCATTATGTTCTAAAAACGTAAGACGGTTTTTCAACATCTCTAGATTCCAATGGACAAATAAGTGTTATCTTTAATGGACTGAGAAGGAAGAAAACAGACCATTTAAAATCCTACGTGCAGCAAAACTCATTGAAAAATAAATGTCATGTAACAAAATTTTCAGAAAAGATGAGACTCAGAAGTAATGAAGGGTCTACATTTCAGGAAGGAAGAAGCTGAACCTGCAAAAAAAATCATGATGAGGAAAAAAACTGAAAATATGATAAATCCAAATTAGTACATAATATAAAAATAACGTTAATGATAACCTGGAGAGTAGGAGTATTTAAAAGAAACAGGAAGTAAATCATTACCTAACCTAACAGATGGGAAAACCAAGTTAAAGTATTTTAAGGGCCTTCCAAACCAGAAAAAGAAAAATAAAAACATAATAAAAATTCCTTCAATCCAACAGAAGACAGAAAACAATAAACAAAGAAAAGGGGTAGTAAAAAGAAACAAAAAATAAGATGGCTCAAATAACTTTAAATTAATAACCCAATAATATAAATAAATTCACCTATCAGAGGCAGAAATGATTAGACAGGACATAAAAAGGATGCTGTTAATGCTAAATGACTAAGAAGCTTGAAAATAAAGGAATAAAAAAAATGGCTCTGAATAGTAAGGAAAAGAAGAATTCATCTAGAAGATTTAAGTAAATCAAACAATATAGCATCCAAGCAAAAATGGACACAATTATAAAGAGAATGTTTTAAACTACAGTTATAGTTTATTTTAATTCACCTCTAACAGGAATCATCAGAGCTAGCAGGGAAAAAGGTGAGGATACTGATGTTATGGACAGCCAAATTAATTAGCTTGAGCTAAGAGATTCATCAAATAGTAAATATCCTTCCTATGAAGAATACGTGAACATTTACAAAAATTGACTATGTACTGCTCACAGGTTTCAATATATTTTTAAAAATCAGTAGTAAATATTCTCTGATCATAATGCAATTAAAAACAAATTTAGAATAAAAAAATATAACAAGCAAATACCCAATATGCTTGGGAACTAAAAAAATTCCTAAATAACCACAACAAAAATCATAAAATATTTAAAACTAAATAACCACAAAAGAAATACATATCAAAACAGTTCCTGAAATACAAATAAGCTGTAGTTGGAGAGAAATTTACAGAAATTAAATGTATTTATTAAAAAATAAGAAAAAACTAAAAAACAAAATAAAAGTAAACTAAATATAAATTAAATTAGAACTAATCTAAAAAGTAAGAAAAAAAAATCCACCATAGTTAGAAGAGCTAAAGACCAATGAAGTTTTAAAAAATTACATAGATTAGCAACAAAATCAAAAGCTAGTTCTCTGGAAAGACCAATAAAATAAACCTTCAAGCAAGGTGGATAAAAAGACAAAAATAAATAATACTGGAAAGCTTCAAAAAGATGTGTATAAGGTTACAGGCAAGACTTAAAACTTATAAGGTACACACACACACACACACACACACAGGAATATTAATCAGCCATAAAAAAAGAATGAAATCTTGCTCTTTCCAAGATCTGGATGGAGCTAGATAGTATTGTGCTAAGTGAAATTAAGTCAGTTAGAGAAAGACAAATACCACATGATTTCTCTCATATGTGGAATTTAAGAAACAAAACAAATAAGCAAAAGGGAGAAAAAGAGAGAAAGAGAGAGAGAAACCGAGAAACAGATTCTTAACCAGAGAGGAGGGGGTGGGAGGATGGGTGAAACAGGTGATGGGGATGAAGTGACCTACATGAAGTGGACATTTTTCTAGAAAACTATCAAATAACCAAAATTTATTCTGGAAGCACTAGTACATTTAAACAAATGAATAATCTTTAATTAAACTGAATTGATAGGCAAAAAAATTCCATCAAAAAAAATACATCAGGGACACCTGGGTAGCTCAGTTGGTTAAGCGTCTGCCTTTGGCTCAGGTCATGATCCCGGGGTCCTGGGATCGAGTCCCACATCGGGCTCCTGCTCCATGGGGAGCCTGCTTCTCCCTCTCCCTCTGCCTGCAGCTCCCTCTGCTTATACGGTTCCTCCCTCTCTCTCTCTCTCTCTGTCAAATAAATAAAAATCTTCAAAAAATTTTAAGAAAAATAAACAAAAAAACCCCCATCATACTCAATTTCACAATTTTAACCAAAAGGTAGATAATCTCTGATTATAAAAAGCTTCCAAGAACAGAAAAAATCAAAAAGGAAAACTATTCAGTTATTTCATGTGGCTAGGATAATACTGATATTAAAATCAGAAGGAAAAGAACAAGAAAGAAGTATAAGGCCAATCTCACTTTTGTTCAAAGATGCAAAAAACCTACATAAAGTTATAGCAATCAAATCCAGCAGTCTTTAAAGGAAAATTAAAAATCTGCTTGGTAGTTCAATATATTAAAACACTAAATGTGTGTGTGAGGGAGAGGGCATTTAATCACCTAAATTAATTTGGGAAAAAAGTTTTGATGAGATTTAACATTCATTCAAAATAGGAATTAAAGGAAATAATGTCCTTAAACCTGATAAAAGAATCTAGCAGAACCCTACATCAAATACAGTGATAAATTAAGTGGGCTCCTTAAAATCATAACAAAGATAAGGATGCTCACCATCAGTTTTTCTATTCCATACTGCAATGGAGGTCCTAACTAAAATGAGAAAAAAAGAAGATGCATGAGAAACTGTCAAGAGATAACACTATCATACTTTGCATATGATGTAACTGCCATTATAAAAAAATGCAAGCTGGGGTGCCTGGCTGGCTCAGTCGGTGGAGCATGCAACTTTTGGGGCACCTGGGTGGCTCAGTTAGTTGAGTGTTTGACTCTTGGTCTCAGCTGAAGTGTTGATCTCAGGGTTATGAGTTCAAGCCCCGTGTGCTTAATGGGGAAAAAAAGCCATTCATTACAGCCACAAAAACTATAAGACACTTTGAAACAGATTATATATGTGACAGCTTCATGTAGTAATATAAAATATTAAAGGACATAAAAAAAAAAAACCTCACCCCTGTGTAAATGGAAATGTATCATATTCATGAAAGGAAAGATTCAATAGCACAAAGATGCCACTGCTCTGCAAATTAATCTATAAATCCAATGTAATTGGCATTTATGGGCGTGGGGTTATAGGGAGGGGTGGGGCTTGCCCTACCAGCTATCAGGACATTTAAAACAGATGTCACATAATCTTACTGTTTAGCTTTCAGGTTTTAGAACATAGGCATGAAACATGGAAAACCTACTGACTGGAGCCATCAGCATATTCTGTAGTCTATCCTCTCAGATAGTGATTATTTCCTCCAAATATTCGACAAGAGCTGATTATAGAAGATTTTGGATTGGGATTCCCAAGAAGCGCTGTGTTCTGCTGAATGAAGACATCCCATGTATGCTTACTACCAAGAACATGTGGCTTAATACTCTTTTATTAACTCATTTCTGCCTACAAGAATGGCCAGACATTTTACTCTTCTGCATGGCACAGAAGTAGTCTACAGCTTCAGGCTGAGCCTGGGAGCTCCTATGTTCATATATGCCTCAGATCTGCACACCCAAGTAAAGATAACAGAACAAGTAACAACTGGCCACCTTTACCACCAAATGATTTCTGCTGAACTAGAACAGCTTCTGTAGATGTCTTTAAGACGATTTTAAGCAGGACCATAACAACACACCAGAGCAAAATATACCCTTAAGTAAGTAAATGATTTAACCTAACCAGTGCAGGCATTTGGTGCTATCTGGTATATGGTAAAGAAAATAACCATTTGTGGTTGGGCAAGCTAATTCAGACTTGTGCAAGGACAAGAGATCAGTTGCTTAGGGACACTTTTGAGCTGGGTTAATAGACTCATTTTATTAAATAGAAGAGAGTGATTATTTTCCTATTTGCTATGGCAAATTAACAAGTGCCTAGTTTATCAAAAGACAGTACAGTTCCATTTTAACTTTAAATATGCTTTAGTTTTATAAAATAAGATAAAAGCAGAAAGGGAAGCAAACCATAAGAGATTCTTAAATATAGAGAACAAATGGGTTTGCTGGAGGGGACGGGCTAGGTGGGGGATGGGCACTAAGGAGGGCACTCGTTGGGATGAGCATTAGGTGTTATGTGTAAGTGATGAATCACTAAATTCTATTCCTGAAAGCAATACTACACTGTATGTTAACTAACTTGAATTTAAAAAAGAGTAAACTGGGCCCCTCGGTGGCTCAGTGGGTTAAAGCCTCTGCCTTCGGCTCAGGTCATGATCCCGGAGTCATCAGACCGAGCCCCGCATCGGGCTCTCTGCTCCGCAGCGAGCCTGCTTCCTCCTCTCTCTCTGCCTACTTGTGTCTATCAAATAAATAAAATTTTTTTTTAAAAATTAAAAAAATAAAAATAAAAAAGAGTAAACTGGTCAGAAAATAAAAATAAATATGTTTTAAGTATAGATCATGTGGTAACTTTATGTTAAACAATATGAAGTAGTGCTACAATGTTTCTCAAATTTTAATTTAAATTAGGTAAATTATAAAGAAAATGAGTTGTTAAGGGTATTTTATAAGGGTATATGCCATGACAATAGACTTGGCCTCTGGCTTGAAGAATTTACAGACCAGTGGAGGAAACAGACAAAAAGTACACTAACAAATTAATGTGTAACCATTATGCTAACTGCAAAGAATACGAACTCAGTAAAAAAGAGTAACTAGGAAGCTTAACATAATTCAGGAAGACCACGCTTAGCATTACAGGTGGAAGGCTTGAGTATGACTGCCCTCAAGGGAAAAGCCTGAGAAACTTAGGCCTGTGAGGCAAAAAAGAGAGGGCACCAGATCAAACAAGACACAGGAGTCAGATCTAACAGACTTACTAAAGTGCAGCGGGGAACCACTGCAAAGTTTCAGGCAAAGGACTGACTTGATCAAATTAAATGATTACTCTGGTTTCTGTGTGAAAACTGTGGGATGAAGAGGGAAATCGTCCAAGAATGAAAGCACGTGTTGTCAGAATAGGTGTAATTACACTGAGAGCAGAGAAGGAAAGAACAACCTCCTAACACCACCAATGTGGAGAGAACGGGAATTCCAACTGCACTGAGAAGTACGCTTTCAGTTTAGAAACCAAGCCTAGGAGAAAGTCACAAAATTAAACTTCCAAGAGGTCCCAATTAAATGGATTTTCTTAAACTAGAAACTAAACTATTTGGCAATTCCTGCTAGCCAAATCACCTCTAGCAGTATCATTTTGCTGATGAACATGTTTACTTGGGCTAAATTTTCACCCCTTTCAAACACCTAGGAAGTTAGCTAAGAAAAGATGAAGACGAGCGAACGGGATGTTGAAAGGAGAATGGTGAACAGTGAGTGAACCAAAAAACCCAGTCAGTCACCACGAAAGTACTTGTAAGCAACCTCATTTGGGTAAAAGAAAGAAGGAAAAACTGAACGGCCTAATTTCTTACTTATATTCTTCCTCCCTGGCAAGGAGGTCCGGTCCAGACGCTGCAGGTTGCTGAACGCGCGGCGGGAGCGGAGCGCCTGAAACGCTCCGTCTCTGTAAAAGAGAAAGAGACTTTCAGACCCGAATTTAAATGAGGTTCCGCGTTCTCTGGCGGGCTAAGAAGCTAGTCGCTCCCCCGGAGTCTGTTTGAACTGACCCGAGGACCAACACTTCGCCCCGCCATCTTTCGGGACCATGGACCCTGTAACCGAGGCAACGAGCGCATCTTCCCGCGAGACTTATCACATCCCGCCCAGCACAGCGCCTTGAGCGCAGACTCCAGGCTCTCCTGGGCTCTCGGCGGAAAGCGGCCTGAGGATGGGGTGGGGCCTGAGGGCAGGGGAGTGGGCGGACCGCGCGCGGTGGTGGGGGGAAGGGGACTGTGGGCGGAAAGGGAGACCCCAGCTGTGCGCTGCCCCAGTAACCAGAGAAGCCTAACCGGTGCTTCCACTTAGATTTTTTTTTTTTTTTAAAGATTTTATTTATTTGACAGAGAGATCACAAGTGGGCAGAGAGGCAGGCAGAGAGAGAGAGGGAGGAGGAAGCAGGCTCCCCGCAGAGCAGAGAGCCCCATGCGGGACTCGATCCCAGGACCCCGAGATCATGACCTGAGCCTGAGCCGAAGGCAGAGGCTCAACCACTGAGCCACCCAGGTGCCCTCTCCACTTAGAAATTCTTAAAGCTTGGGTTGGAAAGGTTTCAACCAAGGCAGGCAGGTTCGTTTCTAAAACTCTGTAAGAAGCTAGCTAGTAAAGCCTCTACTCTTGTGCTTTTCCAAATTTACTGACCACTTCGACCTCCATCTGTTTTTGTTTGTTTGTTTGTTTGTTTTTAACGAACTCTTCGTTGGAATTCTAAGTTTTAATTTCTCACATTTATTTATAGCATGATTAAAGGCTCGGTCTCTCAAATCAGTCATCCTAAGTTCAGGTTGTAGGACCTAACAAGGTCCTGGCTCTGCCACTTACTAGTTGTTTAGTCTTGGGTAAATCACTCTGTATCTTGGCTACTTCACCTACAAAATGGGGGTAAGAATAGTGACCGTCTCATAGAGTTACTAGGAGAAGTGAATTCATGATTAGGATTGTGGCTGAAACACAGTAAGTGGTTAAATTTCCCAGCTCTTTTGGGATAAAATTGAGAGTTCAGAAGTAAACCTTCACATTTAGGGTGTTAGCCTTAAAAGATAAAACTGTTTTATTTTACCAGGAAAAATGGGTTTATTTGGGAATAGCAGAGAATTGCAATCTGGAACAAGTAAGCTGAAGCAGAACTATAGTCCAAGTCCACAGAACAAAAGCGAGAACTGCTCTCATACAGGAAAGGGGGATGTTGAGAAAGCTATTATAAACAACAGTCCATTGACATAAACTGGGAGTTTGCAGTATAATGGCTTTCCATTGGCTGAGCGGTGACAGCCTCTTATTGGCTGGGCTGTTGCCAAGATATGAGGAACACCCTTCCTCCTACTGGGATAGTAAAGTGTATCCACGTGCAAGTAGGCCTCTTCCTGTTGGATTTGTAATTGTCAAGTGGCAGAATTTGAGAGCTCCCCCTACTGGTCTCCTGAGTCCATTCTAAACAAAGTTTCCTTTTATTAATTTTCACAAAAATTAACATTTGGCAAGGGTGCCAAGACCATTCAGTGGGAGAAAGAATAATCTCAACAAGTGGCACTGGGATAAGTGGATATGCACATGCGAAAGAATGAAATTAGACCCCTACCTCACAATGGGTATAACAACTGGCACAAACTGGATCAAAGACCTAATCTTAGATAATACTATAAAGCTCTTCAAAGAAACCATGGGTGAAAATCTTCATCACCTTGGGGCGCCTGGGTGGCTCAATGGGTTAAAGCCTCTGTCTTCAGCTTAGGTCATGATCCCAGGGTCCTGGGATCAAGCCCCACATCAGGCTCTCTGCTCAGCAGGGAGCCCGCTTCCTCCTCTCTCTCTGCCTGCCTCTCTGCCTACTTGTGATTTCTGTCTGTCAAATAAATAAATCTTTAAAAAAAAAATCTTCATCACCTTGAATTAAGTAATGCTCTCTTAGATATAACACCAAAACCAAGCCACAAAAGAAAAATCAATAAACTAAACATCATCAAATCAAATACATTTTGTTTCAAAGGATACCATAAAGTGAAAGATGAACAATAACAAGAGTTGCGAGAAATTCAAACCCTCATACACTGTTGGTGGGAATATAAAATCATACCACCACTGCAGAAAACGGCCTGGCAGTTACACTTAGAGTTACCATATGATCTAGCAACCTACTTCTACGTATATACCCAAGAAAAATTAAAACATACAACTTCACAGAAAGTTGTGCACAAATATTTATATAGAAGCATTATTCAGAATAGCCAAATGGTAACCCAAATGATCATAAACTGATTAATGGGCAAATAAGAGTGGTATAATCATAGAATGAAATACTGTTGAGCACCAAAAAGGAATAAAGTACTGATACATACTACAATATGGATGAACGTTGAAAACATGAAGTGTGAAAGAAGCAATTCACAAAAGACCAAATATTATATTATTCCATTCCAATATAACCACCTATTACAAGAAATGTCCAGAATAGAAAAATACATACAGACAAAAACTAGATTACTGGTTGCCGAATTTGAGAGATGATGGGGGATTGGCTAAGATATTGCAAGGTTTTTTGGTGGGGGTAATGTAAATGGACTAAAATTGATTGTGATGATGGTTGTACAACCTTTTGACTATATTAAAATCCAATGAGTAGTAGACTTTATATGGGTGAATGGTAGGTATGTGAAGTACATCAAGTTGTTAAAACATAACAAAATAATTATTTTTTAAAGATTTTATTCATTTATTTATTTGACAGGCAGAGATCATAAACAGGCAGAGAGGCAGGCAAAGAGAGAGAGGTGGAAGCAGGCTCCCCTCTCAGCAGGGAGGCCGACGCGGGGCTCGATCCCAGGACCCCGGGACCACGACCTGATCTGAAGGCAGAGGCCTCAACCCACTGAGCCACCCAGGCGCCCCCCCCAGAAATAAGTTATTAAAAGGAAAAGTTCAAGGAATGGACAAGGGTACACCATAATAATGTTAGTCAAAGGAAAGTTGGAGTAGCTGTATTAATTTCAAGCAAAGCCAACTTCAGAACAAGGAAGATTATCAGCAACAAAGAAAAGCATTATATAAAGAGTTTAACACTCCATGGAGACACAACAATCCTTAATATATGTGCACCAAACAATTTAGTGTTAAAATGCATGAGGCAAAACCTAAAAAGACTGCAAAGAGTTAAAGATAAATCCACTAATATATTTGGGGATTTTGATACCCTTTTCCAATAATAGAGAGTTTAAAAAGGGAGAAAATCCGTAAGGATATAATTGTCCCAAATAGCACTACCCATCATCTTGATCCGATTGACATTTAGAAAATACTCCCTCCAACAACAGCAGAATACACATTCTCCTCAAAGTCACACAAAACATTTACCAAAATAGGCCACATTCTGGACCATAAAATGCATATTAATAAATTCAGTAGAATTTATATCAGTTTCCTTTGGCTGCTGTAACAAAGTATCGCAAACTGGGTGGCTTAACACAGGAGAAATTTATTGTCTCACAGTTCTAGAGGACAGAAGTCCAAAAAGATGTTGGCAGGGCCAGTGCTCCTTTTGGAAACCGTAGGGGAGAATCCTTCCTTGACTCTCCCCAGCTTCTGGTGGTTGCTGTAACTCCCCGGCATTCTTTGGGTTGCAGGTGTGTCACTTTAATCTCTGCCTCTGTAATCACAGTGTTCTCCCCAAGTGTCTCTGTTTTCATGTGGCATTTCTTCTCATAAAGACTGTAGTCATACTGGCCAAGGACACTGTCTCATGTCAATCTCCATAGTGATGTTAGCCTACCAGTAGTGATGCTATTGGCTAGGAATGCCTGGGGACACTACCCACGCTTGTCACAAGCCCCTATAGATATGGGAAGTGTGGTTTAGGACTTCAGCATATCTTTTGAGGGGACACAATTCAATCTCTAACAGGATCTTACCAACTATGTTCTCAGCCCACAATAGAATTAAACTAGAAATCAATAACAGAAAAGTAACTGAAAAATCTCAAAATATTTGGAGATGAAATGCATACTTCGAAATAATACATGAGTCAAAGAAGCCTCAAGAGAAATTTAAAAAAATATTTTGAACTAGATGAAAAGGAAAATATAACTTATTAAAATTTGTTGGATACAGCAAAAACAGTGCTTAGAATACTTAGCATTAAGTGCATATATTAGAGAAGAAGAAAAACCTAAAATTGGCAATGAAAGTTTCCACCTCAGGCAATGAAAGAAAGAAGAGCGATTTAAGCTTAAGGAGAAAAAAAGAAATACAATTTGAACAGAAATCAATGGAACTGAAAACAGGAATAAAATAAAAATAGAGAAAATCACAGAAACCAAAAATCTGGTTCTTTGGAAAAATTAACAAAATCAATAAACTTCTAGCCATGCTAACCAAAGAAAAAGAAAGAAGACATAAAATTACCTATTCTGTGTCATTTTATGTGATGGTCAGTCAGGTATGACCATAAGCAGAGACACAGGAGAGAAACAGGAGGCATAGTATACCACATAGAACTACATAGGAAAGCCTCAGGTGGTAAGAAGACAGAAAATACAGGCAAGGGGAAAACCTAGCTAGATATTAGGGTTTCTACAGAAAAGGCAAGGCAGTTTAGGATTGGCTAGTTTCAATAATTTTAGCAGGCTTTGGGGCATAGAGGCTGTTCCTATTTTGTGGAATCTGGTACTGGGACAATTAAGGCAGAGGAATAGTGCTTCCTGGGGTGTACAGTACAGGTAAAGGAGATATAACTCTGGATTGGTTAGTTTGCATACCAAAGTCATGCTCCTGGCTGAGCCCTTTGGTATCTCTGAGAATTGGCTAGCCCCAGAAGAGACAGTCTCTCACCAGGCAGAAAGATTTTTTTTTTAAGATGTCAAAATGTCATAATCCACAGAAAATTTAAAAATATAAGCAATACAATACTGGGATCAGAAATGGAAGAGGGATCACCATTAATTATCTCAGGAACATGAAAAGTATGATGAAAGCATACTATAAACCACTCTATACCCAGAGACTTGATAAATTAGATGAAATGGACCAATTCCTTGAAAAATGCAAACTACCAGAATTCACACAAGGAGAAATGGATAATCTGAATAGT